GATGGACTGGTTTGCAATGGCATGTATGTTGTGTGGTCAGCAGGAAAAGGAACAAACCAGCCTATCCCCAACCTGGACCAAGCTATGGGACAAATGACCATGAAGTTCTGCAGTGCCAGTCAATGTCTCACCTTCCCTACTATAACAGTGGTCTGTCTTTAACATAAGAATATGGAACCTCCACTTGTGGGCCAGATCCTCAGAGGTTTGCCATTCAGCTTGCAAGCTTCTTCTGCTGGCCCCATTCTTCCTCCCTCCAGGGCTCTCTTTCTCCAATACAGGGAATCCCATTCTGACATCTGATCACTGACTGGAGATAATAGGAATTCTTCATTTAGCACTTGCCACTTCATGAAACCCTAAAATATATGACCTGAGATGTTTGTAGGTACTAACAGGTATAAGACACCTTGAGGATTAGTAGTATAGTAATACATTATATATAATGTATTAATTTGTGACCTGAAGAACGTCACAAATTAATACACAAGCCAAAAAAAAAAGGGCTCTTTTAATGAATAAAACCTTTAAAAAACATCCTGAGATTCCATCTCTCCCTGTACATTGGATCTGGTTGGATGTTTTCAGTTTCTTTAGTTTTAACATGCTTGGACAGAAAACTTTTACTTTGTATCCATTTCCCTGTTGATGTGTAAACTGGGTCAGTGACTAGGAAACAGCTGGAGAAATAATTTGAGTGGATGCACATATATGCTGGTATTCAAAACCTCCTCTCCCTGCAGGATGAAGAGTACCCTTCTTTAGTCTTTTCCCTGATGACTGCACTGCGGCAACAAAAACATCAAAATCAAAATTCTTGTTGGCAGTGGTAAATTATGAGCAACAAAGTTCTATCAAATGCAATACCCTTTGCTACATCCCCCCAAACCTTTATAACTTAATCTAAGCAAGTTAAATGCAGCTGGACTGGCTGAGAATTGTGTACAGAGGATTGCAGCCTTGTGATGCAATTCTTGATATGTCTATTTAGAAGCTGATATATAAATTCAATGGAGCTATCCCCCAGGTGTTTGTCATGTGCTGGCTTGTTGCATCTAATTTATGGCAATCCCAGTAGGGTTTTCATGGTTTGTGATGGTGACCAGACAAGCATTTGTCCTGGTTTTGGTCCACTCTGGGGGCAGGGTAATTTCCTCTTTTTACCAAAGAATGGATGGCATAAGTGCCAGTGCGAGCCAGGCCATCCCCAGAGCATTTCTACCCACAACTTTCTGCCTCCCTGTCAGGGATTATTCTTTTTTTGGGGGGGGTTAGGATCAATCTATTTTGGTTCATTTCCAACACACACAATCAATGGGATTAAACCCAAATGGAACCTGCTGCTTCCAATTTCCCATTTGCTTTCAATTTCCCAATATCATTAAGTGACTTAAGCAGGCAGCTTAATCACTTAAAAATATAGGGAAATTAAAAACTTCTTCTAGGCAGAGAGGGAGGAGGCAAAGGTGTGTTTTTTTAAAGCCTATTAGTGCAGTGCTTGTAGGGTTTCTACCTTGTAGGAAAAAACTTGAAAGCTTCCTCCTCAAAAGAAGAAGGAGAGGGCAAAGAGGGGATTTGTCTTTGCTTTCTTTCTTTCTTTCTTTTAAAGAGAGGAAGACCAAATGGGGTTGAGATGTGTATACCATGTGGCTGCAAGGATCACACCAAATGGCATGCTGGATATCTGCATGACCTTGAGAGACCCTATTTAGCATGATCCAGCCTGTTCCAATTGAGCTGTCTAACCAAGCCCTCAGATATTTAAGCATTGATTTTACCAGTGCCATCCTGGTAAAGTGTCCTACAGTTTGGGACCACACTACTTGTTGGAGCATTTGACCCCAATATCATCTGCCTGACTCACCAGATCTTCCCAGACGAGGTTCCACCAAGGTGTCCATCCTGAGGGAGGCCCCAAAAGTCTTCCACTAGAAGCAAGGCCTTCTCTGTGGTGACCTCAGCCTTATGGAATCAGCTCCCAGAGGAGCTATACCTGTTTCTCTCCCTCTAGAGAGGAGGCCTTTCATACTGGCCCAGGTTGATAGCGGGTTCATCTCCTAGTCTGCCAGTTCTGTAAATGATTTTGTTCCCATTTGGTATTTATAGTGTGAGTGTTTATTCAGTTTTTGTATTGGTTTTAACATGTTGTTAAACCACCCAAAATAGTGCTTTTGCACTAATGGAGTGGTATGAAAATATAAGAAACAAACAAGCAAACAAACAAACAAATCTTCCAGTAACTGAGTGGGATCTGAACCCATGTCTACTAAGTCCTAGTTCATGACTCTGTCTATTACACCACATTAGCTCAACCTTCAGGTAAAGAGTTATAATGCTGTAGCCTTTGACTCCTTATTAGACAATAAAGTGCTCCATGACCCAGGAAAACTGGAAGGAGTTGTGGTTCCTCTTGAGCACAGACTTGCATCCTTCAATGCAGCAATCTTCATCTTCCCCAGCAATTCAGATGCAAAATTAAAAGTAGTGCTGCATTCCTATCAATATGATGGGAAAAAAAATTTAAAAACAGAACTTCAGGTTCTTTTCCTAGTGATAAGCAGAAAATTTGACCTGTAGCCAAGGCGAAAAACAGAAGATGGGTTTGTTGAGCAGAACTGCAGAAAACATCTATAGGTATCTACAGTTGCCAGGCTGCTTTTGCCCAGGTTTGCCTGTTATTTATTTATTTATTTATTTATTTATTTATTTATTTATTTATTTATTTAACTTATATGCCGCCCACTCTACCCAAAAGTCTCATTTCTGTTCCCCTGTTCAGAAGTCTGATCACAGGGATCCCTCCTTCTCATTTAGATTGTTGCTATGTGCTGTGCATGGAGCTGTCTTTGAACAGTGTTCAGAAATTACAGCAAGTGCAAAATGTGGCAGGCAGCCCTTTAACCTGACATATGTCCTATACAGCCTATAAAACCAGTCTCATGACAGTCACACTGACTTCTAATTAATTGGTGCTGACTTTTACCTCTACAGTCATAGAGAACCAGAACCTGAAGTAGCTCTTCTCAAATTTTGTAATTGTCATCAGATAGGTTAAGTTGGTGGATCCATGCCAAAGCCATTTCTGTAGGAGTGCCCCTACATTTCAGAAGAGGGAGGAATAGCTGCATCTTAGTGTTATCATTGGGACCTGTAGCTTATCAGTTGCCAGAAAGACAGCAGAGACAGGACCAACCTGGCCTTCCAAAAGGGGGCATCCCACAACTGGAGCACCCACCGAAAATAATCTCTTGTATTCTCTCCAAGAGAAGACCTTTGCTCAGATCTTAAAAACTAACTAGGTTCACATGGGGAGATACTGTCCTTCAGATAGACTGTCACCAACTGAAATAAGACTACAATGGTGCCTCGCACAATGAGCGCTTTGTTTAATGATGAATCCGCATAGCGATGAAGATTGTGATGTTTTAAATGGGTAAAAATCGCTTTGCGATGATCGGTAAGCTGTTTTGCTTATCGATTATTGCAAAGCGATCTTTTCCCAACAGCTGATTGGCGGTTCCAAACTGGCGGCCGGGTAAAATAAATGGCTGCCCGCTGTGTTTTCGCACCCATTCCTCGCTTACCGGGCAGCAAAAATAGCAGCCGTATGGAGGATTTTCACATAAAAGTGAGTTTTTTGCCCATAGGAACGCATTAAACGGGTTTTAATGCATTCCTATGGGCTTTTTATTTTCGTATAACAACAAATCCACATAGTGACGATTTTTCCGGAACAGATTATCGTCGCTATGCAGGGCACCACTGTATATAGGTCACAACCAGTGTAGAAATGGACCAGGAGTCAAAGGAGTTGCTGCAGTAGGGGAATTATATACTGCAGTGTTTTGTTTGTTTGTTTGTTGATTGATTTATTTACATTTCTCTGCCACTTTTCTCCCAGTAAAGGGGTCCAAAGTGGCTCACAAATTATTTTTAAAAAGGTTGACTAAAACCACAATAAATTATGACACCAAAGAACAAATAAATAGACAGTATTAAAACAATTATTTAAATGAATTCAAAACACCTTTAAAACCCATTAAAACACACATTAAATAATAATAATGTCCAGCACACAAGATCAAAAACTTCCAAATTAGTTGCTAAAAGCCTGTCTAAACAAAGATGGTATTTACATGTCTCCAGAAGGACAGGAAGGGGGCCAACCTAGCTAAACAGGGTTGCTTGAGGTATGATGGGACCACTCCTTGCATGCGGATGTAAGGATTGTCCCAAATGATAGACCACATCTCAAAATGACCATGCTTAGCATGATCTATATCAGAGGTCTCCAAGCTTTTCAGCGGGAGGACCTCATCATATATGCTCCATATTTTTGAGGGCAGAAGGAACACACACACATGCATGTGCATGTGTACACGTATGCCCACCCACCTGCATGCCCTCTGACCTGCCTGCCCACCTGTGTGCACACACTCACGCACACATGCATGCCAGGCTGGACAAAAAGGCAAGGTGGGCCGGATGTGGCTGTAGTTTGGAGACCCCTGATCTAGACCAATCCAGGCCAGGATAATTGGGCCATCTAGTCACAGCTTCAGAGACAATTCGTTATTCTTTTCCCATGACATTTTTGTGATGTAAATTTCCCTCTTCTGTCCTAAAGTTGGGTTTGTATTTGATGGTTTTTTTTCCTTTTAAGCAATATGAAATATGCCCATAAATTTCCAACTTATTTTCTAGCTTGGCTCTTGATCACAAGAATGATGCTATAATCCTGGAATATGTTCCAACAGGAGCACAGAAGTGTACATGCTTAGACTTAAGACTTAAATAAGTGAATGTGTGTTTCTCTAAAAAGCTGGGCTGTATCTACTTGATTACGACGTTTGTTTGGGTTAACAGGCAACAAAGAATGGGTCTTTCCTTGGACAGTTATTAATGAAAATAGGACCAAATGTGGAAACCTGCAAACAGATAGTTTTACATTGATTACTGAACAAGAACCACTAAAGTGCCTATCTTTTAATTTCCCACAGTGACATGTGTGGACACCACCTTGACTTCCTGCAATGATGTGTCTTACTCAAAAACTACTTACCCTAATTTGCTGGACCAGAAATCCAGAGAAGTAATTGAGTACAGCTCTGAATATATCTTGATGAGTGTGCTCCATAACTTGCTGCAGGGAGAATGCAACCCGGATCTGCGGCTTCTAAGTTGTTCTATTATGGCTCCAAAATGTGAAGAGGGCAACATCATTAAGCCTTGTCGTAAGGTCTGTGAAGCCCTGAGAAAAAACTGCCTTCCTGCCTTTGATGCAATTGACATGGCTTGGCCATACTTCCTAGACTGCGATCGGTTCTTTGTGGATGAAGTAGAAGGATGCTTTGATCCATTAGCAAAGCTGCGAGGTAAGAATCAAAGCTGTGACTGCATGCTTTAACAGAATCAACAGAATTCAAGCATACAAGTAAGTTTTTCAGAGTCCCAGCTCTGTTAGTTATTTTGATGGAATTGAATTGCAGTTGCTGACACCAGTTTGGGTTGACTATATAGCTGAATCACACAATGAACTGAACACCTGGTTTGCCACTGAGCCAGTCTTTTAAGAGGCAAAGCTGAGAAGTCAAGCCATTTAATCGGACTAAGCTGGTGATCTATGTATGTACAAGTAAACTAACCAGATTACAGGTTTAGCCTGTGCAAAATCAGCTTGACTGACATTAGCTCAGGATCACATACAAAAATCTTGAATGAGAAGAAGTATTTGGTGGGAAACAAAGACTGGAACCCTACACATAGTCTTTCTGATTAAGCCCAAGAGTAATACCCCAAAGGGAAGGTTGGGGCCAAATGGAGCCAGTGCTCAAAAGAGAAGCAGATGGTATATAGTTTTTGTCTTCAGTGGAAATTTAGGAAAGTGAAAAATGAAATGCAGGAAACTATTTTTACTGTAATTCTTATGGTATCCTTCAAAGTGTTAGAGATAAATGAATTACAATTCTTAAAATTAAAAAACAACAACAGAATAAGCATTATGTCTATAGTCTTTACAAAACTATTGTACTGTGCTGAATTAATGAAAACAGATGAAAATATATTTGTGATTTAGTTCAATACTGTTTTATGTCAACTGCGGTTTGTATAATCATCATCACTTTAATCTTCTCTAGTTTCTCAACCCATTCCAGAAAATCTGCTAGTATATATCTAATCAGTGCCCAAGCTGGTACACGCCCATCCTAAGAAGCATGAATTTGGCAGAGGAGATAGCCATAGAGGTCTCCAACCTCTAGAGACTATTCAGAACTCTGATAAATTCTGGCAAAATAGATACTGAAAAATTCTGCCCAGGCTGAGAATGCCTACTTAGATAAGCAAAGTTACTTGTTAAAGAAAGTTGGGTTTGAAGCCCAAATATCAAACTGCATATTTGTTCCTTCATAACAACACCAAATACCCTTTCACACAAGGAAAACAGGCAATATTGTAAGAACAACCAATATATTGTTCCTGAGCAAGCTAGTGGAGAGGGTAATGGTTGATCAACTTCAGGCACTCCTGGATGAGACCAATGTTGTTGATCCATTCCAGTTTGGGTTCAGGCGACATCGTGGCATGGAGTCAGCATTGGTTGTGTTGCACAATGACCTTCTGAGGGAGGCCAATGGGCAAAATGTCCCTGCTGGTCCTCCTTCTCCTCTTAGCAGCCTTTGATACCGTCAACCTTGGTATCCTCCTGGGAGGCTCTCAGGATTGGGGATTGCTTGCCTGGCATCGTCCTGACTCCAGTCCTTTCTCAAGGACCAGCCCCGGAAACTGCAGCTTGGGGAGATGGTCTCTGATCCCTGGACTCTAAACTGCAGAGTCCTGTAGGAGTCAATCATCTCCTCTTTGCTTTTTAACATCTACGATTGATTGCTAGGGGAGGTCACCCAGAAATTTGGAGTATTGTGTCATCAGTACACTGATGATGCCCAGCACTATCTCTCCTTCTACCCTTCTGCAGTGGATGCCCTGCCATCCCTTGAGCACTGGATTGCTGCAGTACTGGAGGGGATGGGGCCAAACAGGCTAAGATTGAACCCGGACAAGACAGAGGTCCTCTGCAGTCTGTGGATTGGGTGACTCCCTTTCTTTTGGAGGGGAACTTTCTCCACCAGTGATCATGTTTACAATCTGGGCATTGTTCTGGATCCAGCACTATTGATGGAATCTCAGATAGCGCTTGTGACCCAGTCAGTCTATTTCCATCCCAGGTGGATTGCTCAGCTGTGATAAGACCTGACTGCAGGTCTCTTATCACATTGGTCCATGCTTTGGTAATTTCAAGGATAGATTACTGCAATGTGCTCTACGTGGGGCTGCCTTTGAGACTGATACAAAAACTTCAGCAGGTCCAGATCTTGGCAGCCAGACTAGTAACGGGATCGTTTAAACATCAGCATGTCACTCCATTGGTGGCTGCCCTGCACTGGCTACCAGTTTGTTTCCATATCAGGTTCAAGGTGCTGATTTTGGCCTATAAAGGTTTTGGACCTTTAATCTTAATGGTTCGGGACCTCAGTGCTTGGATGACCACCTCCTTCCAAGTGGAACCAACCATCCTATCCATTTTTCCAAGGATGGACATTTGAGATTGCCAACCTCTAGAGAAGCCTAGAAAGAAAGAACAAGAACCAGGCCTTTTCTGTGGTTGCTCCCCCTGACGTTCACCTCCTGGAGGCACCTACGTTTTGTGCCCTCATGAAGGCTCCAGTTGTGTTTTCCTTTCACTGCCACCAGTGGATTACCTCAATCCACAATATAATGTTTGATCAGACACTTGTATTGTGATGGCAAATAAAACTTATTAAAGTGAAGACAATTTATTAATTACAGAAGTTCCTCAGATGTACATGCTATTCTCTAGCCATAGAATTTCCACCTTCTCTATCTATTCATCTTAACCAGTCTCTAACTCCATCTCTACTGCCTCTGACTAATTCACTGACTCTCTTTCTCCTGACTAACTCTTGACTGACTCAGGCTCCACCTTTTAACATCTCTGTTCGGCTCTGCCTCTCAAACACATTAGCACAGAACCTGAATAATACTGTAGATAACTTATTTTGCATATCAAGGGGTGAACGCTACATACCTCCCCCCTTAAATATGTTTGTTTGGAAGGGGAAACATGTTTTTTCATCCCAAACAAACATGCATCATTACATGAAACTCTGCTTACCTTCTGGCAAGATTGTGCAAGCAATAATAATAGGCTATATAACAATCACAATAATACACTAAACATTCCAATACAATTCAGTAATATACTTTACCTTATCATTTATACTTACTACATTTAACATTTCAACCTTACAGAAACATACCAGAATCAGGAAACTTTTACATAGATAATTAACCAGTTAATCAATAGTCAATTCAGGTTTATTTTAAAAGTCCTCCATGTTTCTGTCCATCAATTTTCAATTTTTCATCACTATTTACAAACAGAACCTTTATTATACATTGCAACTTTTGTTTATCCCCCCATCAGTCATTTGGCTTTCAAGGCAAGGTACCAGCATCCACATGCTGAATCCCTCTGATGCTGTGGATTACAAAGTCCAAGACTTGCATGATCCCACTGTCATCGGCTTGGCACTGCACCTCTTCAACGTTCAATGCATCTGTGAAGATGATGAGCTCCCAGCTGTAGTCAGGTGTGCTGAGGGCTGGTCTGGTCATTAACACCTCCTTCAGCTGGTCAAATGACTGCTGGCACTCAGGGATCCATCTGATGATCTCTGGCTCCTTCCGTGTTCTCGTCAGTCGACTAGCAGTCACTGGACCCTCTGATGTCCACTGGATGTCCTCTGTTTGCTGTTTCTTAGTGAAGCCTGCTTTCTTTCTGGCTCAGAGCTTCACCTTCTCAGCTGGGGAAAGGGTTGGCAGTTCCATCTCCTCCTCATCTCTGGATGGGTCTCTCTTTAAGAAGCCAGGGCTTACGCCTTTCTCCTCACTCACACAGTCACCCACAGGTACTTTCATTGAAACGTTTTCCCTATGTGGGGGACCACTATCATGGGTCACTTTAATATTCTCATGCAAGTTTCTCTTAAGTACAATCAATTATTGGTTTGTTTTAGATGCATTGAGTATGTTAGATGATTCTATTTCTTTATTCAGTGATACACTAGATAGGGGTTTTCCTTGCAAGGATTTAAGGGCTACTTACTCTACCCCTGCCAAAAACAATTTTCTCCCCTCTATAGTTCTCAGTTCTACTACTTGGTCCTCAGGACAGAATACTCTTTCCTGGGCCTCATACAAGCCTTTCTCTTTTTCAGGAGTACTTCCCAAGCTTGGCTTTGCCACTTCTAAGGACTTTTTTCTATATAAAAGCTCCTTATCCAGGCAAGACCTTTCAGGGCATTCAGGAGAT